CGGGTTTTTTCGTTCTCCATCGTATATACTGATAGGCAGAAGGAATATAACCAAATCGACTGGCTCTTCGTGATGATCCTTTATGTATGTATGTACTTTATAGGATCTCCAAAGTTTTCTTCTGGGTGTTACAACCTTCGTTATTGAGTAATTTTTCCTTTAAATTAACTGTTTGCAATACGCTCCAAACGCTTTTAAAACTCAAGTTTTTATAATAGTTTCAGTTAATAGTTCCAATTATGTGCTTTCTTTGGACACTGAGGCTGAACCAAAAAGCCCCTTTTGACAATATTGGACTTTTTGAGACCTGCAATCACTTCTAGACAATGTGATCGTATAAGTACATTGAGTACATTGCATGTAATGCCGTTCTTTACAACTTTGTCTACATAAAACTGTGTTTGGTGTCAAGAGTTAGAATTTCTTTCGCATTCTTTATACACTTACATATATGTATATACCATATGTAGATACATAAACATTAAACACCAAATAAAGTTCAACCCGTCGTTGATTAATGTAAATGTCATGCAAATATTCCACGAAAATGGTGTATCCAATCGGCTGGCGTAACAGCTGTGTCTACATGCACCGAAACCTAGCAGTTTCTCTACACAAAAGCAACGGTGCTGGAGAGAATAACATTAGCAGTTAAAAAGACATATGGTATAAGAGATAGAACAAAGGGTACAAAAGAAGCAAATGTCGAATTCATACAATTAAACGAGATATGCGCGTTAAGTTACCAAGAACCAAACTAAACACCGTTATTGTCCCCAATACAAAGTAAACGTATGCCCGTGACGATGTTATCTCGGAAATTCGGTCAAACAGAAGAAATAACAAATCACATTAACAGCAACAACGCCACAACAAACCAATAGCAACAATAAAAGTCAAACATCATTAAAGACAAAAATCACGAAATCATATATGTATGTATTCGGGTATATTTTTAGGTATATTTGTGGGTATATTTTTAAGTGTATTTGTAGGTACATATACATATTTAGAACTACGTACACTAGGTGAGTAAGCCATGAAGAGTAGTTAGAGGAAGTGACAAAAAGAACACTAGCAAAAGCAGAAGACAAGAGAGAAGAATGAAGAGTAACAGCTTTGAGAATGAATTCTTAAACGTTTTACGATACCACCAGCGGCATACATATGTGGGTAAAAAGAGGTGAAGGCAAACGCACACACAAGAACAATGATTGGCAACAATAAAAATAGCAATAGCAACAGCAATAACAATAAAAACAAAAACGTTTATGCACAATCATTTTACAACAATTGTTGTTGTTTTGCTCCCAGTCAAAGAAACGCTTCCCATAACAATTGAAGACACCAATATGGAGTAACACGCTACTCGCTAGAGCAACGAGCAGTTAGTTGTGCTAGAAACGGTGTTACGAAAGCGCATGTTTCGTACTGTAAAAAGCACGAAGCAACGGCATAGAGCAAATTATAGGCGCATGCGCTGTTAGTGAACCATCTGAAGATGACTGTTGTGGCTGGAGAAACCGGCAAGGAAACCGCCATAGAGGAATTGGGTAATCGTAGCGTTAACACTTTGCTCCAGTTTATGGCGTTTGACTTAGACAATTGAGAAAACTGTTGTAAACACTTTGAAAGTCGACTGACAGTAAACGGTTTTCCAGCTGTTTACCTCTACGACGCTTGGTAGACACATGACACCGCAACAGTTAGTAGCTTTTACTGCAAAGAAGACTAGAGAAAGGCTTGCACTTTTTAAAGCTAACGGTGTTCAAGTGAGAAACTGGAGTAGCGGTGTTATGTTGTACTCTTTAGGTCATTTCTACGGCTAAGAAAGATGAAATGATTAGTAAGTTGTAAGATGTTCGAGGAAGATTTTACGGTTCTAGGAAATGGCGATTATCATATAAAGTTTACTAAAGTTCCAAACCAGACATTTACTTTCGAGTAAGTAACTTTTTAAGATTACATAACTCTTTAGTAAAATTACTTATCGAAAATTACTTACATATGTATATATATCGAATATATCGTGATATGTAACTAACAGTAAGCTCAAAAAGCTCTTCATTAACTTGAGTATCAACAAAATAGTTAATAGGCAAACAGCTTTGCTGAAAGCTTTGAGAATTTTCTGAAATTAAATACTCACGAGAATGATATTAAGTGTTTCTTAAAACTTTTTAGTGAAAGCTCCAAAAAGCTCAAGCTTGTAAAGACTTTCTCGAACAGGGAAATGTATTATTTAAATCACATACAGGCCAAATGCTTTAGCTCAAGTTTAAAAAGTTTTGTGTGTAACTATAAAAAAATCGGGAGTAATAAAATAGTGTTGCTTTTAAGCAGTCTTTTTTAATAAAGCTGTAAAAAGCTTTTGAATATTATTATTTTCGTACAGGAAAACGTTTTAATTAATTCGCATTGAAATCTATTAAGTAACCATATGTACATATGTATATCGTATACAGAGCGCAATACTTTTTTAAACTTTTGAAGGAAAAAAAAGAAAAAGCTTTGATAAATAAAGTTAAGAACTTATTTAAAATGTTTTGAACAAGTTTTTCAGGAAAGCTTAGAATAATTAAAAAGCTCTCAGAAATAACATTTCATGAAAATGCATTTAACATGTTGTGCAGTAGTTTTCATGAAAGCTTATGTTTTTGAAAGTTTAAAAAAGCTTAATATAAAAGCATGAAAAAGCGTTCACATATAAAGTTTCATATAGCGCAAAAACATGAAAAAAGCTCCCTAAATAAGTTTCCATAAAAAAAATAATTTAGAATGTTTTGATGTAGTTTTTCATGAAAGTTTCAAAAAGCCTCAGAGTAAGAGCTTTTTTAACTACACATATGAAGCATTACACACAAGTATACTTGAATCTCATAAGTAAAATAAATAAAAATATTTTTTTTTTTTTTTTTATTTATCACAACTATGATTGAAAGTTTTAAAAAGCTCTTGAGCAGTAAGAGTAGTATGAGCTTTCTAATTACACTTTTGAAGCATTACAAACATAACCATGTGCTTAGTACATACTCATATGTATGCCAAATATTCATTTATCGGCAAAGTTTTCCAAGTATTCCTCGCTTCTTTTTTTTACCACAATAGTGAATTTTTTGCTTAAGCAAGTTTTAGTAAGGTTATCAACAATATAGTTTAGTTGACATACTTTAGGGGCGTTTTTTATCAAACAAAGAATACGGTTATAGGTGCGTTACTACAACATAAAACAACAAGTGAGCGTCATATTAAATTTCGAAAAACTATACAACACCGCAAAACAAATGCAAATGACAACGACAAAACTACTCACTCACGACTGAGCACGAGAACTGGCTAAACAAGAGCTCAAGTGACCAGTTGTCAAGCTACTGCAGAGTCACCAACGCGACGGACTAACATACAAACAAATGTATGCTAGTATGAGAGCAGGGGACGCACGCCAACAAGTCTCTTTGGCAAGCCACCAACATCGCGGCTGTCGGCCGACAAAGGCGATTATGTCAGCGCACAAAGACTTGTGCGACGGCTACCGGTGGATTTCACACCAGGCCTGCATATGCGGCGGACGCTCAGTAAGCCAAGTCAAGCGCTGCGCTCGAATTAGCCATGTGCGGCTGCGCACAAACGAACGCCCTCAACGTCATCAGCGGCAAAATGGTGATCAGCAAATCACCCAAAGCGTTGCGGCGTTGTCGTGTAGCGTGTTTGTTTTTGGCTTTTGATATTGATATAAATTTAACGCATACAAACACAGACGTACATATGTAGATATGTTTGTTAAATAAAACACTATAATTGCGGTGCGAATGCTTTTGACTAAAAAAAAACTCATGTTAAGCACATGCGCTGGATTTACTGGTGTCAAGTACGAAATAGATACACACACATGTATGAATGTTTGAGTGCATGTGCGAAGGTGAGTTTGTTGGTGGGTTTTAATTTCGAATTCGAACTTTTCAACATGCGTTTCACTCATAGCTTTTTGTAGTTAATTGAAATTTAATTCAAAATACATTTTTTTGCCTTTTTGGTATTTTGGTTTTTTGTTTTGTTTTGTATGTTGTTGTAGTCGCTATGGCGAGGTCGTCAAGCAGGTCTGACTAAAATGAAATTGTTGAAATTTTGGTTAAAAATTTGCCATTACTCGCAGCGAGTTTCGCTTTTTTGAACAAAGGCGGTATGTTGGTGAAAAATGCATAATAACAAAAACAAGACAGGTGCATGTATGTATGGGTGTGCGTATGTTGTATAGAAAGGCAGGCGAATTTAACAAGTTTTAACGTAGTGGAATTAATAAGCATGCCGATGAGTCTTTGTCATGTAAATTCAAGTAGATATATTTCTACAAGTGCTTCAATTATATGTATATTTAAATTATTTTATTGTATTTACTATTTATAAGAAATCAGCAAATTTACTTTCAATATTGCAATTAGTTGCCAATTGATTTATAATAAAATTGCTTTGTTTGAGGTCAGCGTTTGAAAATTTACTAATTTCTAGTATTTTCAGACTAATGTTGACTACAGTTTTGTCACAGACTGTACTTTTAAACATATATTTCATTATTTTTTATTGAAAAATATAATATGTATTTGATAATATTCAAGAATTTTTTCTGTAAGAAAATTATTTTCTTTGTCAATATCGTCTCTATCATAGAAATTTGAACAACGTGCTCGCTAAAAATTATAGAAATAATTAAGAAAAAATTACCAAAAAAAATATATAAAAAAATGGTTGGGTTTTTTTTTCAAAATTTTAACAAAACTATATAATAATATAAAAATGTTTTTTTTTCGTTTTCTACTAATATACGAATTCAGAGTATAAATTTATCAGCTTTGAATCTCAGTATCATCACTTCAAACGGATATAGGGCTTAGCTCTGATGCATAAATCCACTAAGCCCCTCATCAAATAACCCTCATTTGCTCATATTTACAGTTTACATGACATTTTTTGTGACTTTAGCCTAAATTTTCTTTTTCACTTACCAGTAAGCCGGTCTCTACATTTGGTATCAATATAATTCTGGAGCCATCCATAAGATTATTATCTTTTAATGTGCCATCTTGTAGTTCTCTGTAAAGCAAAAAAAAAAAAAAAAAAA